CTCTAAAACACTGAAAACAACACCCAATGACTTTACCACATTCACCCAAGAAGTTGTGTTCTTATTAATGACAGTCTTCTATATACCACTTATTTCCCAAGTCTCAGGCACTATCTTGGAATACCCACACTTTCTGACATTTCTTATGCTGTTCTGGTCTACAGATGAGGAAGCTGAGTCTTGGACAGAAACTGATAAGGATGCAGAAGATGAAAGTCTGTGAGCACACTCCCTCTCATGCTCATCCACCTCTGACTTCTGTACTGTGGTCCTCTGTTCCCTCAGCCAAGAGCAGAGGCAGGAGCTGAATCTTGTCTTCATGACTGTGAAACACATGCTGTCAGAATGTATGTCATTCTGCACCCAGCTGGGTCCAAAAGCAGCAGCCACCCTGAGCCTCTCATCCCTCCAAATACGTTCTTGTCAAAAACCAAGGTCTGTGAGACCACACTCTCCACATCATTGTGTCATGAGACTCTATGGTCCTGAGAACTATAGTTACAAGAAGATAGGACAGACAGCATCCCAGCCATCCCCCTCCCCTACACAATGACACCTAAAAGCCAGAGCACCAGGTTTGTTCCTCGTTGATGATCTTTTCTTGACAAAAATAATGAAATTCTAGCTAGTTACATAAGACCAGGAAGGGCACCAAAGTACACTAGGAAGTAATTGATATTCTGCAAACATCCTCAAGGGGGGCATTAACTCTCAGAAAGGATCTCAGTAAAATGCCAACACCCTGAGCTAAAGTTCTTAATATAATCTCTTGCAAAACCAGAGTGTGCGGTCCCAGGATGGGCTAGTGCTTCTGTGAGAGCTGTTCTCCATCACCTGACCTGGCCCATCCCCCATGGTATCAGGAAGAATACACAGACAGTAGCAATTCCTTTGAGGAAAGCTAGGGAGATGGCTTAGTCAGCAAAATGCATACTGGCAAGCAGGAGGACCTGAGTTCAGATCCGCGATACCCACATAAAAGCTAGGTGTTTCAGCTGGGGCTACAAGGAAATGGATAGATCCCTGGAGACTTTGGATAGCCAGCCTAGAAGAACTGATGAGTGTGGGAGCCCACGAATGACTCAGTTTCCATCTGCAGTCTATTCTGACTTATAAGACATTAGAGTTCAAGCTTGCTTGTTTCAGTCTCCTTGAGACCATTGAGAAAGTTCTGATTAAGCCCACGGAAAAGAGCATATTATCTAACTAACAGGTTTCTGATGCTATCCAAAAAGCACATAGAGATAGAGAATGAAGTCGCTTGTTGCTAACAGGACTCACATGATAGATAGTGAACCTTGCTGCTCTTCTATTCAAGGACAGTGCAGGAAGCTGGTTAATCAACTATGCTGCTCTTTGTTCTGCTTTGCCTCCAGTCTGTACATAAGCAGAGTCTAAATTAAACTTGGGGCTGTGCAGTGTGCTGAAAGGCATGGGCTGGGCTGTCCTCCAAAATCTATCCTGTGTTTCTGTCTCTGTTCCTTTTATCTGCCTTTCCTCAATCCTCACACCGCCACTCAGATAACTCAGCTGACTCTTTGGAGCAGGCTGTGACAGATGAGTACCATGTTCATTGAGATCCTGTCTCAAAAATTAAGATGGACAGGGATTGAATAAGACACCCAAACTCGACCTATGACCACCACACTCACATACACACATATGTACCTGCACACAGAGACAAATACAGATACCCTACATGCATTCATATGCACACAAAGCAGTTAGGAGATGGGAAGTCAGAGAGGGTGCAAAGACCCTGCTAGACCTTGGAGAGGTGGTGCACAAGGTTTCTTGTTGTGTGTAGTAGCAAAATTTTGAGCAGAGGTGTGGCATGGCCTGATTAACAAATTCTGATGACTTCTTGGGCAATTGTGCAGAAAAGGATTGCTAAGTGCAGGGCAGAAGCTGGGGGAATCTTTGCAATGGCTCAAGGCACAGTGATGGGGGACCTGAGGTAGTAAGACTGTGGAAATGTGGACAGGATCTTCTTATTGAATGGATAGAGGGAGCCGACAGAGGAGTCAAATGCAGTTTGAAGGCTGCAACTGGGACTTCAGGCGAAGCTAGGTACCACTTTTGAAACAATGAAGTCAGGGTGTGATTGAATTCTCTGACTTAAACACATACTAGGACTACAGGGAATCCTGGCTCTTCTGCTTCCAGCCTCTCTGTTCCTCCTCAGAATCTTACCCCAATCATCCTTCCACCATCCACCCATCCATCAGCAACCCACCCACCCACTCATCCATCTAATCATTCATTTAACAAGCATCTTTAGTAACTACCCTGTGGCAAATGTGTAGGTACTATAGACACAGGACTAATTAGACACATGCCCTTCCCTCATAATTTAGGGAACATATAGAGACAATGCATTGTTATGGTTTGACCTTAAATATTCCCCAAAGTTCATAACGCTGACGCTTGGTTGGTCCCTGGTGCCACAATACTCAAAGGTAGAGGTGCTAGCAGATAGCTGAATCAGGTGGCCTTTCATCTCACTAACAAATGGAGCCTGTTATGGACTCATAGTTACTGGATTTCAAGGGAGGGTGTGGTGGTTTGAATAAGAACAGGCCCCATAGGCTCATATGTTTGAATGCTTGGTCACACACTCTTAGTGGCACTATTTGAAAGGATCAAAAGGACTAGGGTGTAGCTTTGTTGGAGGAATGGTGTCACTGGGGTGAACTTTGGTGTTTCAAAAGCCCATGCCAAGCTTATTCTCTCTCTCTCTCTCTCTCTCTCTCTCTCTCTCTCTCTCTCTCTCTCTCTCTCTCTCTCTCTCTGACTGTCTGTCTGTCTGTCTGTCTCTCTTTCTCTGTCTCTCTGTCTGTCTGTCTGTCTGACTGTGGATCAGGATGTAAAGCTCTCCTGTACCTGCCTTCATACTGCCATGCTCTCTGCCATGATGAAAATGGACTAAACCTCTGAAACTGTAGGCAACACTCCAGTTAAATGCCTTTTTCATAAGTGCTGCCTTGTTCATGGCGTCTCTTCACAGCAGTAGAACAGTGACTAGAACAAAGAGGTTTGTTGTGAAGATGAGCAGCTGCCCTTGCTTCCTGGCTGCCATCTGGTGGGCACCTTTCCTCTGCCATGTGCTTACTCTGCTGTAGATTCCAAAGGAACCAGGCAAAGCAATCAAGAACTGAGACCTCAGAAAACAGAAGCAGCAATAAACCCCACTCCTTTTGTTTGTCTTAAACTAAGTCCCAGAGACATCTTCATGCATCCGTGCAGTTAGTCACTCAAAATTTCATTGGCACTTGATCTCATTAGTACTTTCTTTCAGGAAATAATGTGTGTTGGTCCATATTAATGTTCATCTTGCATCAAGAATATATGAGCCCAAGTCTCTTTAACAAATGGTGTTGAGGAAGCTGAATTTCCACATGTAGAAGAATGAAAATAAGCTGAGCATGGAGATGCATGCCTTTAATGCCAGTACTTAGGAAGCAGAGACAGGTGGATATCTATGAGTTCAAGGCCAGCCTGGTGTACAGGAGCAGTGAGTTCCAGGATAGCCAGGGATACAAAACAGAGACATCGTGTCTTAAAACACACAAAAAAAGAATGAAACTAGATCCCTATCTTTCACCCTGCAAAAAAATCAATTTAAAATTGATCAAATTACCTTAATACCAGACGCAAAAACTTTGAAGCTGATAGAGAAAAACACAGGGAAGGCATTTCAAATATATATTCAAAGATAAGGACTTGCTGAATAGCACACTGACAGCACAGGAAATAATTCCAATAACTGGAAAATAGGATGGATCATATTACATTAAAAAGCTTTTACACAGCAAAGGGAACTATCACCAGAGCAAAGACACACCCATGTAACTGGTGGGATCTTTTTTCACTATACACCATATGAAGAATTAATATCTAGGATTTGCAAAGAACTGCAAAACTACAAAAGAATTCAATCATCAGGTGGTGCAGAACACACCTTTATTCCCAGCACTCAGGAAACAGAGTATTGTGTCTGGTCTACAGAGTGAGTTCCAGGACAGCCAAGACTACAAAGAGAAACCCTGTCTTGAAAAACAAAATAACAAACAAAATGAACAAAAAAATCTAATCAATAGGTGAGCTAATGAACTGAAAAGATGATTCTCGTGGTCCAGCGATGGTCCCACACTCTAGTGCATATGTGCATCACTAACTGGAGGGAGATGTGCTGTGGGGCCTGGAGGAAGCTGGGAGGGAGGGAGGGAGGCATGAGCGGATATGATCAAACCATGCTGTGTAAGAAATGCTCAAAGAATAAACAAAATATTATACAAAAAGACAAAGTCGAAATATGTCAAATGTTGGAGAGAACATTAAGTGACCCCGTTTGTATTGCTGATGGGATGTAAATTGATCACATGGAAAACAATAAAACCTCGAAAAATCAAACAACCACCATATGATCTAGTAACCCCACTCTGGGTATATAGGAGAAATAAAACTCCACATCAAAGAAAAGCCTGTCCTTTGTTCCTTTCGTCAGTGTTCACAATGACTGCAGTGTTTATCAGTGGCTGAATGGACTATATTATTAGGACTCCGCAAGGAAGAAAATGCCACCATTTTCTGATGATGTGAACAAACCAGGAAGCTATTCTGCTATGTGAAACAGGCCAGATGTTGAAAGACAAATACTGTGTAATCTCACTTGAAAGCAGGATCTTAAAAAAAATAGGAAGTACAGGAACAGAGTAGAAGAGGGCTTGTTATAGGGTGGAGACAGGTGAGGAGATGGGCTTCAAGGGATACAGCCTTGCAGTTAAGGGGTGAATAGATTCCAGAGACTGCCTTCCCCCCAGAAGAAAAAAGGAGTAAGTTCTATTCCAATTGGACAGTGCTAGGCTGGCCATCCTCACTCACTTAAACATCGACAACATGCAGTTTGTGCCAGGGTCAGGGAGGGGACTCCTGCTGGATGACCCAACAGTAGCTCTGGGCAGCGTCTCCAGGCAACCAGGCTTTCCTCTGCAGACCTGGCCTCTTGCACCTGCTGGCCATGTGAGCCAGCCCTGGGAGCAGCTGCCAGAGCCATTTGCACCACCTCCCACAGCATGCTGGGGGCAGCTGTGGAGCCACCTGCCTGAAGAAAGCCTTAAGCCCACCCATCTGGGTGGCCACACTCACAGCCAGCTGCCTGGGCCCTGCTGGACCCTGACTGACACCTGCAGGTTCAGGTGCCAGCCCCTGAGATGCATCCACTCTGGAGGTTCTTGGTCCTCCTCCTGGGATTGCTAGTCTTGCCCTCAGCCCTGCTCAAGCAGCCTTGGCCTGGACTGACCACAGCCCACAAGGATGGAAGGTCCACCCTAGAAAGAAGTAAGCTTACCCCTGGGTGTGGCCTGCTAACCAGAGAGTGGGGAGGGCACAGCCTGGGTCACACCACTGACTGCTGAACCACCTTGGGTCAGCCTCTCATCTAATTATTATTTACCTGTTTGTTTTTATTGTTTGTTTACTTATTTATTTTCTTTTGGACCTTAAGTACAGAAAATTGAGATTAATTTAAATTTTTCCAATTCATGGCATGTGGTCTTTTGTTTTATGCCATTTTCTCTTGCTCCCTTACCCTTATTCCCATTCCCTTACAGAAATTGTCAGGGACTGCCATGTACTTAGCATGTGTATCTATGCATCTAGCTGGGCAAGGTGGTGCATGCCTTTAATCCCAGCACTTGGGAGTCAGGAACAGGCAAATCTCTGAGTTTGAGGCCAGCCTGGTGTCATATCGTGAGACTCAAAACAACAAACCACATCTGCATCCTTTGCAGGTGGCGTTTTAATTTGTCTGACCCTGACTTGCCACTTGCTCTGCCTTTCACCCCCTGCTCTACAGCTGGCATCTCAGTTGCACTGGCTGCTGCAGAGAAGTCTGTCCACTTCATTACCTACGTTTAGTTGGCTGCTCCCTCGGGACTGTCACCTAAACTGACTGTACCTTCCCATTGCTGTAAGCCACACTGAGATGAGTATCCTTGGACGGGTCCCCACTGGAACACGTGAGAGAATTCCTCTTGGATATGTATATCTGGAACGAAGCTCGATGTAATTAAAACTGTTGGAGTCCTCTTTAAATGGCTGTGCTATGGCTGTGCTGGTGTACACTCATTCCAGCTGTAAGAGAACAAAGCTGTCTGCCATGCTCCCCACCACTGAAGGGTATCCACCTGTAGCAACCAGTCAGTGTTGCCAAAGCAAGATGCCATAGATAGGGTGAGGCTGGGGTGGTGGCAGAGGAGTCAAACAACATATGACTGTTTTTTTACAAACTTCTGGCAGCTGGAAGTTCAAGTTTAAGGTACTGACAAGTTTGATGTCTGGGAGGGACCTCACTTGCTGGCTTATGGATGGCATCCTCTCATAGTCTTTCAGAAAATGATATACCTGATGTCTTCCTCTTTCAAAGATACCAGTCCTATTAGATTAGGGCCAACCCTGTGACCTCATTTAAATGTATTTACTACATTGAAAGTACTATACCAAATACAGTTGTCCCTAGGTAGCCATGGGGATTGGTTCCAGGCTCCCCCTTGGATCCTAGAATCTATGGATCCTCATAACCTTTACCTAAAATGGCGCAGTGTTTGCACAGAACTGATGCAAATCCTTTCTCATACTTGAAACCATCTCTAGACTACTCATAAGACCTAGGACAATGTAAATAACTGTAATGGCCCATTCAGTGAATAATGGCAAGAAAAGAGACTTAGCATTTTCAGAACACAAGTAATTTTTTCCAAATATTTCCAATTCATGGTTGATTGATTCTGCAGGTAAAACAGAAGATGAACAGTATTCCTCCCAACTGGCACCCATTGACTTTGTTGAACAGGAATTGTTTCAAATTCACCAATATCTCATTATATAATTTGTATTTGGAGTCTTGAGATCTTATCACATCCCGGAATTATTCTAGTTGTCTCTTTCAACAGCATTCTAGTTTTACCTTCCACACTGAGGGTGTTAATACACACACAGTGAGCATTTATCTCTGTGTGCATCTGTGCATGGAAAGTAAAGAGTCAGCCTTATTTCTGCCCACATGAGTCTGCTTCCTAGACCTTCTACTAACTGGCCAAACTCCCAACAATGTAAGGACTCCTCTTTGTGCTCCCAGACCTGTCTCTGTAACATGACACCTTAACTATTGCATCTTTGTGCAATACTGATTATTCTGACAGCCTTTTTATTCTTCCACATGAATTTTCAAGCGTGTTGAGTTCCTCTCAAAGGCTTCGTCTGAATCCGATCACACCCACATTGACTCTGTATATTTAGAAGAAAGGAATATTTTCACAATGGGAAACCCTGCCCATAGGCTTAGTGTGTGACTAGTCAGATTCTATGCCCCATAAAATCTTATGAAAGTGTTGAGCATAGTTACTCAAGTTGATCCCTTGAGAATGTATTTGCTGCAGAGTAAATGATTTTCTTATTATCATCCTAGTTGGTGTTTTGGGTACAACTGGAAGAGATTACAGCCACAGTTTCTACTTAGGAAACTTCTTAAAAATGGATCCATTTCTTCTCTGTGGGAGACTTGGAGACAGGAATAAGTGTTCAGCAGAAAGAGGATACCCCGGGCTCACGCAAGGCCTGTTTTCTCTGTGCCCCACTCTGCACAGGAGTTTGCACCTCACTATCCCTTCTCCATTTCCAGTCATTGCACAGGGCCTCCTGAAGCACAACGCTGAAGGCCGGATCCAGAGCGTGAGGCTCCTGGACCGCCTGAATGTCTCAGGGATGGCAGCCCCAGGGATGGTGGGCTGGCTAATTGGTGGCATGAACTTCCAGCAGCAGCAAGAGATCAGGTGAGACCTCAAATCCCACTCCAGACACTGGGGGCACTCTAGGGACGCTGGGGTCAGAAGACAAAACAGAGAGCAAAGCTTCTGAAGAAGGAAGGCATTCAGTCAGACAAAAGGAAGGCAAAACACAAACCCAAGATGAGAACAAGCTGGAGGTCACTGTCAGGAGCTATTCGGGGAGGTGGCACGTCAGGGCAATTAGCATGACAGCTCAGAAACAGACACGTCTACACCTAAAGCCCAGCTTTGCTGCCCACCCTGGGGAAATTGCTTAGCCATTCTAAATGCACCTTAAAATGGGGACACAGAACAGAGCCTGGTTAAACACCTGGGATATCAGACAAGACCAGTGCTGCAACCAGACACTTGAATCTTTGTTCAAGTGGCTCTGCATAAGCAGTGGACTATACTGCCCACAAACCGTGGGCCCTCATCAGAGAAACAATCACAGTAATGGTCCCCTGCAGGAGATGTTGGGGACTCTAACAGGCCTGTACAGAACTTGTGTGGTGACAACATAGGATATACAACCCTTGGTAGCTGGGGCTTCCATGACAATACTGAGTAATCCTACCCACGCCCTCTGAGACTGCTCCATTGAACCTTCTACTTCCCAGGTCTCCACTCTGCCCTTGCAGTCCCATTCTTCCACCTGCTCTCCCCTGAGCACCTTCTCTTGCCCTGGACGCCTCATTTCTCTCTATCTGAATGAGCAACAGAGGGCACTAGCAGGGTTTTCCTATGAAACATGCAGCCAAAATCTTTTTAGTCATTCCTTCAACAAATGTTACAGTTATCATAAAACATCTATTGTACGCAAATCACATTGAGAATAGAGCTATGAATAAGACCTATGACCTTTACCGTTGGGGAGATTGCATCCCAGTGATATAGGCCTAATTTCAGGTGAAGAGGCATGCCACAAGAAAATAAATTTAACAAGGTGAGGGGTGGGAGTGAGGGAGCTGATCAGGACCTGTCTAAGAGGTGACCCTGGAAGAGAAGGTGGCAAGGGACATGAGAGATACGGGAGAGTGGCTGGGGGAAAGAGGCTGTCGGGACAAAGGCCCAGAGATATGAAAGATATGGGTGCATTTGAAGAAGAAAGAGCACCCCACATCTGGCTGAGCAAAGGGTGAATGGTAGAGGTGGAGAAACCAATGCCACAAGGAAACTCTGTGTAGACCCTGCAGGTCTATGGGGGCCACTGTGTTCAGTTTGTATCTTATTCCAAAAGTAGGGAGGAACAAGGGGACAAGGGACTGTATAAAGGCCACCCAGGTTGCCTCATGGAGAATATAGTCTATAGAAAGGCAAAGATTGCAGCAGGGAGCACAGGAAGGAACTGAAACATCTTCAGGAAGAGGTGGTGTGAACAACAAAAGTAGTCAAACTCATTTATATTCCAAGTAGGCCAAGGTTATTTGCAGGTAGCAAGTGGGTAGGTAGTGTGTGGAAACACCAAGTAGCTTCCCTCTGGAGTCCCGGACAGATGATAGGACTGTCCATCACAGAGGGAGTCTTGTTTTGAGAAGTAGCCCAGGGTCCTGAGATGGAAGGTCCTGCCTGTCAACATCTGGCTCTGGACTGCACAATCCATGGCTGAGGGGAATACTTATTGAGCCCTGGGACAGCTGGCCACTCAGGCTGTCAGAGCATCTGCACCAAGCTCTGATTCCCAGCCCGACCACATGCCCCTCCTTGCAGTCAAGGCTGGCCTTGTTGCTGAGTTGCCATCCCTCAATCTTTGTGGAACCTCTGCTTTTTCCACGGGTAGCATCAACATCACCAATGTGCAGCTGGACTGTGATGGGATCCAGATGGCTTTCCCTAAAGAGTGGTTCTCCGCAAACATCACACTGGAATTTGACGTTGAATTCCAACTGTGAGTCCTACCCAACAAAACAGTGTCTCTTGAGCACTGTTCCTTCTTCTCGGGGACCTGGGAGCTTGGAGTGGTGTTGGGTGGCAAACTAGGACTCCAACCTGAACTCAGATCCTGACCCCCTGCACTGACTCACTATGACCTAGGATGAGTCACCCTTCCCTGAACCTTGGTTTCTTCTACTGCAGCATAGATGACACTCATAGTGAAAGGGTCACTTGCTCATTCAAACCCATGTGATCTCAGCAGCTATGTCCCATAAAAGAAAAGGAGGGGAGGCATTCCTCCTCTTTCTCTGATCACTCCCCTCCTGCTCAAACTTCCTGCAAGGGAGCCAGGAGCTGCAGCCACACAGAAAAGCTCTTAAGATATCAACTTACTCTCAACCCTTGGATTTCCAAGAACTCCTACACTTATCTCCTTAAGCAACTGGCATTGGGGAGGGGATGTGGGAGTGGGTTCAGTGGTAGAGCCCATGCTCAACGTGCCCAGGCTTTGCACTCCATTTCTAGCACCAGAATAAAAAGAAAAGAGAAAAACAAGCACAGAGGTCTCTATGGTCGATGGCTGCTTTTTCCTTACTCGCTAACCTAGGGTTTAGCGGACATGGTTGTTGGGAAGACAGTGGGTTGTATCTGACTTTGCTGCTCTTCTTGCTGGCTCCCCCCATCTCCCTCTAGTCCATCCCTTCTGACTCCTCCTCTCTCACCATAGGCCCTTCAATTCAAACATCATCAAGACGCATGCCCGCATGGGCCTTGCTGCAGAGTCCTGGCTGGAGAAAGATGAGTTTGGCCGGAGGGAGCTGGTGATGGGCAGATGTCACATGGAGCCCAGCAGTGAGGGTGCATCCATGTCCACTGAGTAAGGCCTCTCCCTGGTCCCCTGGGGATCCCTGACTCACGAGCAGCTATGGCTTCATATTCCCACCTGTCCTCATGATTCCAAAGCAGACTTCATCCCTTCACCAGGATTTGTTCCTTCTGTGTCCCCCTCCAAGAAACCCCTCCCTCCTTGTGTTTCCTGACTCCATCTCATCCTCCAAGCACCACCATAGAGATAAGTTCCTAGTGCAGAACTCTTCTACTTCCCCCTGGTTCCCACTCCAAGCCTTTGAGGGGATATCAAATTCAGAAAAGGCTCTTGAGCCCTCCATCCTCATCCCTACCCTGTTCTGTGGTCCTGTACCCTCCACTAACAGTCACTCTTCACACCCCTATGCCTGCACATGGTGACATCTCTTCTAGAATGTCTTTCTGGCCTTTTTAAGCAACTCACGAAGATATCCTCAAGTATTTATCAAGAAGCTCCTAGGCCAGGCACCCAGCCTCATGCTAGAGATACCAGGGTGAACAAGACAGACACAAGAGTTGCATGGAACTCTGGGGACTGACCAACCAACTGTCCATCTCAACACACCACTGTGAGGAGTGTGCTAATTTATCTCTGTAATTCTCGTGTGAGTGCTGAACCATGACACCCTTCATGCCTGCCCATGTAAACATCAGTTGTGTGGTGCCAGCTTAGACTGTAGCAGACATTGACAAGGTAGAAGAAGACCATGAACTCTAGTGACATCCTGTCATGGTCCTCGTTAAGAGTCAGAACTTACTCTCTGTGTGACCTTGCCCATGCCACATCACCTCTCCGGGTCCCCAGTGACTATGGTTGACAAGAATACCTCCCTAGAAGACCAAGTGAGGATCTGGAGTGAGAGAGTGTGTTCAGTACATACCTCCCAGGATTGGTGTGGCCTGGACTGATTCATTCTGTCCTGAATTCCCACCTCTTTTCCTAGGGAAGTCCCACCTAAGATGAAGCATTTTCTCCACAACCTCCGAGAAAGCCTGGGGAAAGTTATCCCGAACCTAGTAGAAAGTCAGGTAAGGTGTCCTCGAGTGCTGTCTGCCCCACAGGCATCCATGAGTCTGAAGATCAAGGCACACATCTGGCTAATTTAGCAGAGAACTTCTAACCCAAAGCTTTGGAACCTGACAGCAAACCCCAGTTGCCCTCAGATTTGTTTCCACAAACAAGGGAAAGCCACCCTAAGTGTCCATGTCCACATGTGAGGCACAGGCAGTTGAAATCCCCATCTCATAGTTGTGGGGCTTCAGGAGGCAGGGTATGGGTGTGCTGTGCATAGCTCCTAGTGGTTGGCTGGGTCCTGCTGGAATCCAGTGGTGCCGGGGCTACTTGCCTCAGAGACCTTAGCTCCTTCCTATCCCTGGCTGACCCTGTCTCTGTGCTGGGGACCTAGGTATGTCCTCTGATCGGTGAGATCCTCCGGCAGCTGGATGTGAAGCTGTTGAAAGGCCTTGTGGGTGAGTATTGGGGTCCATCCTGGGAGGCCTCCTTGGGATTGGTAGGTACTAAGGGGGGGAGCCATAACTCTCATATCCTGTGATAATATATTATAGGGACTCTATTGTAAAATCCTCCTAAGAGATTGGGAAGAGTAAAAGGAACCCCTGCTAACCAGGTTGTACCCTACCAAGTTACCACAAAGCTACAAATCCAGTAGGGAGGACACCCCTATCTAAACTCGAGACTAGCCCTTCTCCAGAGACAGGTAGACTGCTTCAGCCCCTGCCCTGGTGGAGTTCACAGTCTTGGGAATGGAGGGCTGGAAGTCATCTGTCAGGGCATGTCATTCTGAGCTAATGATAGGAATGCTCCTGGCCCCAGCCCTTGGAGGATGGATGGGAAAGCACTCCCTTCCCTGTGGACCTGGGGATTAGATGGGTCACCTAGCAACCAAGGCTCCCCTTCTCCTTTCAGAACAGGTGGCTGCTCATAATCTTGGTCAACTTTGAATCAGTCAAACCTCTTGGGTGCCAGGCTCAAGGGGCCAGCCTCCTGCTGCCTGCCATTGGTCAGAAGAAGGTACTTCTGGTTGAGACCTTAGGTCTCTCTTAATGTGGGTATTCTGCTGTTCCCTAGAAACATGACCCCCAGGTTCCAAGACATCCTGTCCTCTCCAAAACAATAAACTCTAACTCTGAAGGATACACTAGCCCCACCTGAAGGGAACACCACCACCCCCTATCACCACCCACCTTGAGGTTTAGTTTAATATCCCTGGTTTGCTCATCAGCCCAGTAGTGGTGGGGAATGCCTACTCTAGCCTGTTGTTTACAGCCATGGACCTCTGGGACCTCCCAAAGGTCACAGAGAAAGCATAATAGAGCAGGAATACAAAAGATACCCAGGATCAGACCAGATTCAGCTCTATATAGGCAACCAGTGTCCCCATCCCCAACGCAAAAGATGGCAACAGGGCAAGCTCAGCAAAGGTTTGGGATAGAGTGACTGGATGACTCCTGGCTTGAGGACTCGCTATCTGTGTCTTAGACAAAGTCCCTCACCCTTTGGGCTTTGTCACCTGCAATATGTGAATAAAAATTCTACAGGACACTGCTGGTGTCAGGGAAATCACACCACCACTTCAGGACACTGGCAACATTCAGCCAAGCTGAACTTTGCACCAGCTTAGTAATGTGATGGGTTCATCACAAGTTGTCAAAAGACAAGGTGTCTCACTTGTAGCAGTACTCACAATAGCCCTAAAGCAGCAATGTTCCTAAACACCTGCAGAGAACTGACAGGCAGTTAGGAAGGTAGGAGAGTCACATGTGATGAAATGGTGACGAAAATGACCCTCCACTTCATTTGGGTGGAACTTCCAAAATTGCATCAGAAAAGCTGGACCTGAAGCCCAACTGTGTTGCAACTCTAGTGACACAGGTCAAAAATAGCAAAGCTAATGCATACTGCTAGAGGTCAGGGTAATTACAGTAGGGTAAGCTCAGCACCAGGGAGGGACTTCTAGAGCAGCAGTCACGGTCTATTTCTTGACCTGATACTGGATATGGGGAAAGTCTACGGAAAACTAATTCAACTATTCACGTATGCACCTTTTTCTAAGACATAATATATTTTAACAATTTTTCAAATAAAATATCTAGCATGCAGCACATGTGTGTGGGATATATGAGAAACCATTTTCAAGATGTTTTCCATGTGGAAAACGTTTATTCTAGGTCATTGAGTTCATTGTTAGCTATTTGCCTACTGGCTACTCAGTGATTGAATGTTGAGTCCCACCCAAACCCATCAAAGATTGAGGATCAATATCACATATATATTAACAATTGTAGCATGTGCTAGAAACATGACTCCATGATTAAGAGTGCTTACTGCTCTTCCAGAGGTCCCAGTTTCAGATCTTAGCACCCATTTTGGGTGGCCCATAAATGCCTCCAGGATAATCCAGCACCTTCTTCCAGCTTCTGTGGGCATACATGTGGCATACATACTTAAATACATAAACGAAAACAAATCTTTAAAAATAAATAAATAATAGTAACACATATCATAAGCACATGACAAGTCTTCAGCACCTCATTAAATGCCTCACAGCGACTCCATGAGGTACAAAACTGTCACCCAGTTTACACATTAGATTTCTGAAGAAGAATGTTACTTGCCTAAAGTCACACAGAGAGGAACTGGCCATGTCAGCACAGTCAACCCCAACAGTCAAGGGCAGGCAGCAGGATTCCAAAGCTCACACTCTTAACTGTGAACCCTCATCCCCCAGGCATTCCCTCCCTCCCTACTAGCAACCCCCCTCCAGCCTTCCCTCACACCCAAGGGGAATATGATGAAATCCAGGTTCAGGTGAATTGAAAAACTCAAACAAGGAAGTGTGGACAGCTCGGAGATGAGAAGAGGGCCAGAGAACTTCTTGTCTCCATCTTTCAATTCAAACTCCCTAATCCGAAATGCTTCACCGCGGATTTGCAACCCTAAACGCCATGTTCCCGAACATTCCACTTAATAGCCTTTGGCTTACAGGGTTCTTCCTGCTCTTGAGTCAAAGAGCAAACACAGGAGGGCTAGGCCAAAAGGTTGCCTGCTTCCCTGGGGGCAGCTTTTGTCTGCATTCTTCCTGGCACCTCCAGGGTTGTCTCGAGGTCTCCATCAAGATGCCTCCTCTGCATTCTCCAATCCTGTCTTCGTTTTAAGGTTAACAGAGCAAGGGCCTTTGCACACATGCTTCCAGAACCGCTTGTTTGACTACGGACCCCTCTGGTGCTCTTGGGATCCCCAGTGATGAGTGGATAAAGCAGACATTTCTCCCCAGATTGTCAGAACTTATGTTCAGGTCCTACCTCTGGGTGCCTTACCTACCCCTTCCTTGCCCTTTGGTGTCCAGGCAGACTTTGAATCGGCTATGTAGCTGCAGCTACACTACTTTGCCCAAACTTTAACCTCTCACAGCCTTAGGAGGTGTTTGTGGTTAACTCCATGTTATAGGTGAGGCAGCCTAACTCAAAGAGAAACCTTGGAAATGTTCTAGAAATTTCCTTCATGGTTCCTATAGATAACAGTGGTGTACCTCATACTCTAAAGTCCACAAAGTGGACTTTAGCTTGAGTTATTAACCACATGTTTTTTAATTCAAAACTTAATGAAACCGACAAGAAAGAGAAGAAGGAAAGTATGCAGAGAGAAACACTTTTCCCAGCATCATTCCACTGGTAATGAGCCTGTCAGATTTGGAACTCTGCACCTATTGGCATTATGGGCCATATGAGGCCTCCAGACAACATGACCAGTTCTTTCAGAACTAAGGATTCTGCAAACTTGTCTTTGAAAGGCACTGAAATGATACAGCCCTAATTGATGGTAGCATGGTGTCACCTCTCTCTAGCTGAGGTGACTTCAGGCAGATCACAGTCTTATCTGAACCTCCGTTTCCCCCAAAGGATCGTGACAAGTGGTATAAGTTGCCAGTGTCTCCTAAGAGGGTTTTGCTGCTGTCCCTGATGCTGGTGAGGTCAGTCTCAAGGGGAGTTTGCCTGTGGCTAACACCACCTGAGAAGACCCATTAGGTCTATTTTCTCATCAAATTCCTTCTTCCCTCCCTCCTTTTGTCCCTTCCTCCTCCCCCAACTTCCTCTGCCCTCTGGAGTTTCCAAACCCATTTGGAATCCTTCTCAAGTTTACCACCCTTATCCCATTCCCAAGATCTAGAGAATGAACCTGGAACAGACTATAATTTTTTAACAAGGATATTCAGCTCTGCTCTTTAAAAATGGAGCCTGTGTGACCTGGGGCTGTAGCTCAGTGGTCTTTGGAGTGTCTTCCATACCAACCTCCTACATTCTGTGAGATAGGTTTTTCTTAAGCCTCTGCAAACTGATTCACACACATCACCACTACAGTACAGTCTGTCAGAGGCCAGGGGAGTGCCGCTACTGACACATGGTTTCTCTGAAGCACATTGGGCCTCATCAGTATCACTTGGGAGGGGAAGGCTGGGTCTGGAACATTAGCTGTGAGTCTTGCTGCTGTGTGCCTGCTCAGAAGCTTCTCTGCTGGAGCACGAAGCATGCAGCCCATGGAACTTCTCAAGGAGCAATTCCAGCAGAAGCAGAGACAGGGGGCGTTAAGTTTCCTAAGTCAAAGGTTTGGGCCCAGCTAGTGAGAGCAGATGGATGGGTACCGAGGGCAGTATGGATGGGTAATGTTTTAGACTGAAACACCCCAGCCCCGACTATGATGGTCACACAAAGTCATATTAAGTTAGAATTCATACAAGGTCACACTGAAAGAAGAGCACTTTTACTGAATGTTACCTTCGTGTGTTCGCCCGATCTGGGACTTTTCAAACTCAGGGAAAAGTGCTGAAAGTGAATGTGTAAAGGTGTAAAAAGAGTTCCCACCCTCAAGACTGGACAATTCCCTATGTTGGAGTGGGGGTGGGAGGAACCCAAGAGAAACTGAAGAGAACACACCTCCAGTGGGCCCAAAAGTCATCACACACTGCCTCTCTCCCTCCAAGACAGAGCTCAGCATGAATGAACTCAGGAAACCTCACAGACATCCTCAGTGGGGGATAGATGATGCCTTGCCCATACCTCTGCCCAGAGCCAAGACAATGAGTGACCCAAGAAGAGATGGTGAACCAGAGGGTTTAGGTGGGTACAGGCAACTGAGATAACAGCCCCCCTCATAGTCTTGCCTGAGGATATGGGCACAATGCTGTGTGTCCAAGGAGAAGACTAAATCTGAGGAAGTCAGGTGTCCCGTGGTGTGCCTGTTTTTCCAGTCAAAATCAAGGACGAGGTAGCCTCCTCTGAGGACAGTGGTAAAGGTAAGGTCCCTGGAGAAGACATGAGACCTCAGAGGGAAATGAAGACGTTTCTGTAACCGCACAAAATGCAATCAGAAATAGGAGGTGGTACATAGATTGGAAGAATGTGTCTGAAGAATGTGTGGACACCTACGATACCAAATGAGATGCATGCAGCTCCCCAAGTATGCTCTCCTCATAGCCCTGAGGTGTATGATGTCATCTCCATCTTACAAAGATGAAAAAGCTTCTGTAACTATAGTGGCCCACCTAGGTCGGCATACAGCTAGGACCCAACCTGCCCTGTTTTCTGTTACAGTCATACCCAGTCTCCTAACTTCAAAGATTTCCAATAACTAAATGTACAACCCCAGCTCTTTTCCAGGCCTTACTGGCCTCCATTTACCCAAAGTTAGTAACAAGACCTACTCTTAAAACAGGTTTAAGGGTTTGCCTGTCATCCCAGAACTCAGGAGTCTCACGCAGGAAGATAAGTTCAAGGCCAGTCTGGGCTTCATAGTGACTTCAAGGCAATCCCATGCGGTATCAAATGGCCTGGTGGCTCTCTTAATTTCAAGACCTTGGCCTATCCTTGTCTTGGTTTTTCCCTCTATAAAGTAGTCCTCATAGTCCTAAGTAGTGAAGAGCAATGCTTTATCACTTTATCTGATAAAAGGATAGGGGTAAGAGGAAAGGTCGGGAGACTGCAGGATCCCTCAAGCCTGGCAACCCAGAAAGATGTTTCCAGAACACAGACTTGGGAGGTGCAGTATGGGGAATCAAAATGGAGAGCAAGTGTGGGGAAGGCTGAAGTCCCACTTTCTCACTGTAGAAACCCAACCCCACCTTGCCAGGATGAGTGGCCCTGGCACAGGCTAGAGCCTGGCAAGCATTCAGCCCTGGCATTGGTTCTTAGCTATTATTAACCAATGAGTTGGCTTCGAACTCTGCCACTTCCTCTCTAGACCATCCATGCTAACTGGGCTCCAGTTTCCTCCTCTGTAAGGAAACAGTAGTGACCTTTCTGTCCCAAGATCTTATGAGGACCTACAGGCACATGATTGCATGAACCAGAGGCTTGAAAAACAAAAGACCCACTTGTACATGCACACAAATGAAATTGAGGGTAGCTCAAGATAGGGAGGGCAAATGTAACTTGACTGCTAGCACTGTGGGAACAAGAGTTTGCCAGAGGACCAGGAGACACGAGTGAAAAGAGACGAGAGCAAGGTCAAAGCTCTGAGTGATCTGACTGACTGCTCCTTTCAACACTGAAAATCTGATCTTCCAGCCATGTGAGCATGGGTCTTCAACCTCTGCCTCGTGCATGAAACCATGAAGTCTTGAGTAAGCCTCCTGTCAGATGTTCTTGTTTAATTTGTGGACCGAACAGCTTAACTGACTCACCTGTTAGCATGGTTGACAATTATTTACTTTGGAGAGTCCTGAAAGACACTTCCACATTGCAGAAATCGGAATTATCTCGAAGCCCATCATCCAATATCAGGTTTCCCAATTCCCATTCTATAAAAGAGGCTGATTCCTCTGTGGCAGAAGTGGTAGGAGCGGAGCCCAGAACAGCTGCCGAGACCTGGAGACTCAGGTGAGACCTGTCCCTTCCTCTACTCCACAGATGTTCTGGGTAGCAGGAGGCCATGCCCCTTACTCTAGACTCATGCTGGCAGATTGAACTGTCACTAACTGGGTATCTTACAAGAGAAACAGGAATGGCCATGGTCAGGGGCAAGGACTAGACATTCACTCACCTTTCCTAGAGAGGCACCCTTGATGAACAGTGAGCTCTCAACACACCCTAAGTGAATGGTCTAGGGAAGAAATTTCATCTTGAGGGTTACCATCACAGTTGAGACACTGTCATGGCCTGAACACAGACCAAAGAACCATCCTTTAGCAGAAATGATGGCCAAGCAGTTCAGATCTTCAGCCTCTGTCATCTGAAGAGCAGGGGTGAGGGCAATGAGTCAGGCCACCACAGTCACATCCCTGGCCCCAGAGTAAATCTAACAGTCACTTAACTATACAGAAGCTTCTGGGTCAGGCACACTTGACTTCTGCTCCTCTCACTACTGCAGCTTGTCACCTTGGGGGAGACCGCCTTGAGTGACTAGGCCTCTGCTCCAACCGTGAAACAGGGTTGTCCATGCCTACATCTGAGGATGTGGTGACAGTGAAGTTGATGACTGAATGCATCAGCCTGTGGCGTGGGACAGACTACTCTATGGCAGTGTTAGCTATTGTTGCTAGTTATCACCTGCTGGGGTTCAGGGAAGGAAAGAAATCTACCACCCCTGACAGGGAAGGCAGTGAGAGAGTCCCCTGCTGTCCATACCACAGCAGACTTGTCATTCTTTCTGCAGGTACCAAGAGATGTTTCTAGTTGAGAGCCTCGTTGTCCTTTGTGGGTTGCTGGCCCAGAGCTCGGCCCAGTTGGCAGGACTGCCCTTACCCCTGGGCCAGGGTCTGCCCTTGCCCCTGGACCAGGGTCTGCCCTTGCCCCTAGACCAGGGCCTGCCTTTGGCTGTGACCCCAGATCTGCTTTCAAATCCCACAGATCATCTTTCTGGAAGCTTCACAGATGGTGAGTCTATGACAGTCTCTTTCAGGGCATGTGTGCATGCGTGTCTGTGTTTACACATGTGTGCTCTAGTACACCTAGCCTCCCAATACCAGGAAGGGAAGCATGAGTGAGAAAGGGGTTGAGAACCTGAGGCAGCAGGTGTGACCCCTGAGGATCCTTTCTCCTTTGCAGCTCTAAGTGGTGGCCTGCTGTCTGGGGGTCTGCTGGGCATTTTGGAAAATATTCCACTCCTGGATATACTAAAGTCTGGAGGAGGCAATACCAACGGCCTGGTTGGGGGCCTACTTGGAAAACTGACATCATCTATCCCTCTCCTGAACAACATTCTTGAGTGAGTTGCCCAAAAGAAGGATTTGGTTCCCACTAACAACTGAAGATCTGCCAGTCCCAGGCAGCATCCCTACAAAGGGAGAGGGGTGGGCTGAGAATGCAGCCAAGACTCAGTCCCAGGCCTCTCTCCACTCTACCAGCAACAGTGGCCCTTTGACCTGGAGCTGCCCCCAGTCCTAAGGCACATCCTGAGCCCCAGCAGCAGCTATTATCTCCATGACAACCCTTCTATGTCAGCACAGAGATATGTCTGTGCTCACGTAGCTAGGGTGATGCAGAGTCAGGAATCTCACTCAGAGAAGCCCCAAGCTGGGGCCTTTTCCATCCCTGCTCATCCCATCTAGGGAATGCCAGCTGTCACTAGGCTAGCCTCCTCAGCTCTATCACCTAAGCGATGTCACTGAGACCTGATGTGGTGCTTCCCATGAGCCACTTGAGAGCTTCCTAGGCAGGAAGCTACAGTAGGGATCTTGTTGCCAGTGACCAGATACCCAAGCCCAAGCCCTTAGTAAAACTGGGACTTATTATGGCCGGGATTCCCTGGCCTCTGCTACCTGACCTGGAGACAGTCAGATTTGAGCTTGGTTAGAACTGTCTGTGCTGGATAAACTGAGGTCAGGTTTCCCAGGCTTGGTTTCCCCATCTGTGAGATGGGGTTATACACAGAGAGAAAAGCTGTGGAGGAGACCAGGGAAGGGTAGGTACCTGGCACCACGGATGGCTCAGGGAAGACTCCCTCCCACCATTGTGCATTCTTCCCAATTCTTTAATCCCTGTGATAAGCACTGAGGGCTGATATGCTACTGCAGGTTATGACAGAACAAGGTGTTTCTGCCGTAAGTCCTGTGCAGGGTTCTTCTAGTTGCTGGGTATTTTCCATGGCAGTCCATCCATCACTCCTCCATCGCCTTTTCCTCCTTTCATCTAACCACTCACTCTTCTGTCCAGTCTTCTGTGTACCTCCCAGCCCACAGAACCCACCACTTGCTTTGTAAGGTTCTGCTCTGTCGTGTGCAGCCTCTTCCTTCAATACCTCCTAGACCTGAGACTGACAGAAGACCTAGGATGTGGCTGTGAAACTGTCTTCTGTCTTCCTTGTCTGGAGTGGCCAGCTCTCTCTCTCTCTCTCTCTCTCTCTCTCTCTCTCTCTCTCTCTCTCTCTCTCTCTCTCTCTCTCTCTCTCTCTCTCTCTGAGATGAGTAAATTTGTGTGAAAGAGGTTTCCAGGTTTAACATTTGAGACACTGATTTTCATCCCTCTAATCCCTGAGCAGCATAAAAATCACCGATCCCCAGCTGTTGGAACTTGGCCTTGTGCAGAGCCCTGATGGTCATCGTCTCTATGTCACCATCCCCCTAGGCCTGACACTCAAATTGAATACGTGAGTAGGTCTCTAGTGGGTGGGTAAGAGGGTGGCTCACACAGAGAGAGCTTGATGACTACAGGAAGCTGCAGATGCCAGTGCCACCAACATTAGCACATTTGCTGTTACGCTGAGAAAATTTAGCCATGTAATTTGACCTCTCTGAGCCTTGCTTTCTCCTAGTTGGGGGATGAGAACAACTGTGAAACATATAGGGTGAAGTGAGGCTGGCCCTCCTACCAACCCTCCACCTTGAAATGCAGGGAAAAGACAGGAACCAGTAGGGCTGTTTCTCCTTTTCTGGCAGGCCCATGGTTGGAAGTCTTTTGAAATTGGCTGTGAAGCTGAACATCACCGCAGAAGTCTTAGCCGTGAAAGACAATCAGGGGAAGATCCACCTGGTCCTCGGTGACTGCACCCACTCCCCTGGCAGCCTGCAAATCACCTTGCTCAATGGGTGAGGCCAAAGAGCTAGCTTCTTCCACCCAGAGACAGCAGTGTGGAATTACAGAACAATGGGTGGACAGATGAGTAAGAGGATGGGTATGTGAGGAGGAGGATGGGTAGGGAGACTGAGGTTTGTATGTTTGGTGAGGGAAGGGAAAGATAAACAGACATGGACACATGCAGAAGTAAAGGAATACATAAAGGCTCACTTATCCCTTATTAGACAGAATAGCCAATTTCTTAATGCTATGAAAACGTACACATTGTGATTTTTAGCAATGTTGTGCACATTGTGATTTTTAATGACATTTATATTTTTTGTCTGTTTTACCTACTTCATGAACCTTCACAGACAATCTAAAATTATCTTGTCTAGTTATTACAAAGAGACAAATTGTATTACTGTGAGTTGCTCAAAAGTAAGCCAGATGGTGATAAGAACATTATTTTGTTTATTATGTTGTCATATTTATAATAGGATGGCTAATTTTATAGTGGATTAGGCAATAAATAGTTTGAATTTAAGCCCTACCTATACAGGGGATATGAGCTTCACTAGTATGTCTCCAATTTTGTCTCATATTATTTATTTGTAATACAAAATTACATTGTGGTTATTGACAGAATCCTCCTAAGAGGTAAATACATGCAACACCTATTTTGATTACTTGTTCTGGTTGCCAGCCACATGGGAAGACCCAGTTATCCATAGTGTATAGGACCTGGCCACACCATGGCTCACATTTGATTAATACATTTACTGAGCTTTGTGTGCATCATTCATTGAGTCCCCATGACAACTACAAACTAAGTACTTTGCATGCATTCATGGATTCCTCAGTCTTGTTGTGCACCTACTATGTGCCTGAAGTGTGTTTATTCTACACTCAACTGTGTGTGCATGGCTGGGCTGAGTGTAACTCTCTTCATCTAGGATCCTTGCTGGTAAATCTGCCCTGGACATGAGTGTGCAAGGCCTAGTCTCAGTTTCGGGGTGCCAAGACTGAGTGTGCATAGTGGCTGCTGAACTTCTCCAGGGCAACCCCAAGCCTCTGGGTTATACCCTTGCCTTTTTCTTCCAGAGTCACTCCACTTCAAAGTGTCTTAGACAACCTCACAGGGATATTGACTAAAGTTCTTCCTGACCTGGTGCAAGGCAAGGTAAGAGGTCAAAGTGACAGTCTCCTGTCCAAGGATCTTAGAGCCTCTTGGGCTGAAAGAGAGCCCTGGAGTGAACTAAGTAAACTAAGTTATTCTGTGTGAGAAATGAATTCATCCATCAGTCCATCTGTCCTGTGGTCCAGCCATCTGTGTTACTTCTTTCCACCTCTCCAAACACATTGGTTGGCTTCTCCTGGGCTGTAGAAAGTATTCCTGAGTATATTCCACCTGGGCCATGCAGCTTTTCCAAGGGTCTCCTTGCAGGAAGTGCTGAACCTAACCCCACCCCCTCTCTGCCCTGGGTCAGGTGTGTCCTCTGGTCAATGGGATTCTCAGCCATTTGGATGTCACCCTGGTGCATGACATTGCTGGTAGGTGCTGTTTCCAAATCTTCTCCCACTCCCAGGAAACATCTGTTTCCCCCAAGGAGTTTTGTCTTTGAACATCATCCCTCCCTCTTTGGGGGTATTTTTGTCCCCATGAATGATCAGATGAGTTTGGGGTAAAACATACCTCCCCTCTCAGCCTGACCTGAGAATAGCTGGTTGTCTGGAGGAGGCGGCACAGCCTTCCCCAGGTGCTTGTGTGTGGTAAACATGGCTGGTGACCACAGGTCTTGTGTGTGGTAAGCATGGCTGGTGACCACAGGTCTTGTGTGTGGTAAGCATGGCTGGTGACCACAGGTCTTGTGTGTGGTAAGCATGGCTGGTGACCACAGGTCTTGTGTGTGGTAAGCATGGCTGGTGACCACAGGTCTTGTGTGTGGTAAGCATGGCTGGTGACCACAGGTCTTGTGTGTGGTAAGCATGGCTGGTGACCATAGGTCTTACTGGACTCTTTCACCACCAGATTGTGACTCTGATATGGCTTTTGTGTTGTTTTTGTTGTCCAGAATTACTGATCCATGGATTACAATTTGTCATCAAGGTCTAGGCTCCCCAGGAAGGGAGGATTGGCCTTAATGGAGCTGGTGAGTACTATCCCACATTCCTCAGTATTTGAGGATTGGCCATTATCCTTCTAGAAGGAAGCAGGGATCTAGGAACAATGTCATCAGTATTATTCAGCTTTCCATCACTCTAATGAAAGACCTAAGATAATCAACAGAGAAAAGGGTTTCTTTTGGCTCGCAGTTGTGTAGATTCAGTTCATAACCAATTGTTCCATTGCTCTGGGACTGTGATAGGGCAGCATGTTATAGTGGAAGAAGACATTCATTCTTTCAGTAGCCAAGAGACAGCAAGAGGTAGAATTCCAGTCCCCCACCCAGGGCATGCCCCGATGGGCTAACGACCTCCTACTCCCCATAGACCCACTCCTACTGGCTCCACTGTCTCACAGCATCATTGCCATAGGGACCACACCTTTAACATCTGGGACCTTATGGGAATATCTAAGATTCAAGTTATAGCACTATCCAAAGAGAGACAAGCTTCCACATGGGAACACAATAAGTTCATAGAAAAGTTGACAGAGGTAGAGAGACACAGGTGCCACATCAGCACAACTGACAAAAGAAACATGCATCATCATGGACACACACACACACACACACACACACACAGAGAGAGAGAGAGTAACCAGATACATATGTTATACATACATATGTTATACAAATTCATGCAGTCTCACCACTATACTTACACATATGTGCAAACATGTACAAACACACGACAATCAAGCCCACACAGGTACAAAGATAACACATGCACAAAGATCCAGGCTCCTTATGGCTGAGACCTTATGCTTGGGTCTCAGCATGCCTCTGTCCCTCAGGGAGCCAGTTTGGTGTTAAACAATACCAGTGAGAGTCACTGACTTCACATGTCCCTCCTGATCAAAGTCTTCTCCCAACAGAGAAGAATTGCAGCTGCTCAGCCTCTTGCCCATCTTCCCATGTCTCACAAAAGGAGGCCTGTGTCCTAGAAAATGATATGCCTGCCTCTCCCCAAGGAACCTGATCTCCTCCTTTCTCATCAGGAATGATTAATCCCGTTACCATTACTAAATAAAATAGCTCTTCATCTGCACTAGGACTGTGTTCTTCATCATTACTTGAGGCTTTAGAAGCCAGAAAGCATACCAGCTAGGCAGTCAGGGCCATGGGCTAGAGCCTCTCATCCTGGGTCTGAGTGGTCTTGAAGAGCTGAGGGCTGGGGTACTGGTGTGGATGAGCACTCAGCACCAGTGCTCACACACAGGGTACCACACAGAAGCAAAGCAGCATCAGGAGACGTGCTCCGGAGCTGGGCACATAAAGAAGATGTGCACAGACATATATGGCTCTGGTCCACGTCTCAGGCTGGTTCCTGGAGGTAACCAGGAATGTGGAAAGGTGAACTGATCATAGCAGGAAGAAAAGGGGGACCACTCTGTGTGGAGATGCTTGGGAGACCCTGAGAAAGACACCTGGATAGCTAAAGGACATTGTCATACTGGCCTCTTTTCTGTTCCCCAGCAACAGAAGGACAGAAATGACAAAAAGGGCAGAAAGAAGGGCACCAGGGCCCAAGTGTTGACTGCTTATGAAAAGCAATGAAGAGGTTAATAGGAGTTGACATTTTTTTAGAGGAAAAACTGGATTTTGAGGAAGTAATAAGAGGAAGGGAAAAGTTGAGAATACAAAAAAAATTGGATGCAAGAAAAGAGTGTCTGGGAGATCAATCAAAACCCACAGTCTCACGAATTGGTACAGGAGACAGCTTCCTGAACATAACACCAGTAGCACAGACAGTGAGATCAACAATTAATAAATGGGACCTACTGAAACTGAGAAGCTTCTGTAAGGCAAAGGACACAGTCAGCAAGACAAAAAGGCAGCCCACAGAATGGGAAAAAATATTCACTAATCCCACATCTGACAGAGGGTTGATCTCCAAAATTTACAAAGAACTCAAGAAGCAAGTCTCCAAAACACCAAAGGACCCTATTAAAAAGTGGGCTGCAGAACTAAATAGAGAGTTTTCAATAGAGGAGTCTAAAATGGCTGAGAGGCACTTGAGAAAGTGCTCAACATCCTTAGCCATCCGGGAAATGCAAATCAAAACAACTCTGAGATACCATCTCACTCCTGTCAGAATGGCTAAAATCAAAAACACCAATGACAATTTATGCTGGAGAGGATGTGGTGAAAGGGGAACACTCCTCCATTGCTGGTAGGAGTGCCAACTGGTTCAGCCACTTTGGAAAGCAGTATGGAGATTCCTCAGAAAAATGGGAATAAACCTACCACAAGACCCAGCAACTCCACTCTTAGGCATATATCCAAAAGATGCCCATTCATACAACAAAGATGTCTGTTCCACTATGTTCATAGCAGCTTTATTTGTAATAGCCAGAACTTGGAAGCAACCTAGATGTCCCTCACCCGAAGAGTGGATAGAGAAAATGTGGTACATCTACACAATGGAGTACTATTCAGCAGAAAAAAATAATGGAATCATGAGATTCGCAGGCAAATGGATGACACTAGAAGAAACCATCCTGAGTGAGGTAACCCAGTCACAAAAAGAGAAACATGGCATGTACTCTCTCATATATGGATTTTAGACATAGATCTGGGGAGTGCCAGCCTACAATCCTATGGCCAGAGAGTCTGGGAAACAGAAACTTCATTTAGTGGCTGGTTAAGTACTGAGCTGAACTCAAGAAAGCCAGTAACAGAGAGGGAGGACTGATGATCAAAGGGATTAAGACTGGGCTGGTTTAACCCCCAGAAACAGCTCACCAGACAAAGGTTAACTCTTGAATCCCAGGCATCAGCCTGGGAATCCAGCATGAGACTGATCAAGACCCCCTGAATTTGGGTGTCAGTGAGGAGGCCTAGGGAACCTATTGAGCCTTGGGCAACAGATCAGTACCCATCCCAAGTATACACACGGACTTTGGACTCCCATAGAACAATGTGAGGTGCACTCTCACCCTGAACTCTTGGGGAAGGGTCTAGGCCCTGCCCTATATGAAATGACAGACTATGGACACCCCCATGGAGGGCCTCACCCTCCCTGGGGGAATGAGGGGATAACGGGGGGGGTTGGGGGAGGGCACGGGAGGAGGGGAGGGAATGGGAGAGGGACCTGGAACTGACTTGTGAAGCAACCTCGTTTCTTATCTAAATTTAAACTGGAAAAAAAAGAAAGTTATTTGAATGCATGTTAAACATTAATGTAATTTTTGAAAGGTTATATCTGATTTTTTTTACCAAAATAAATCTGGAGAATAAAAAAAACCCACAGTCTCTGTAAAAATACATACATACATATATACACACACATACATAGCAGCCAGTGGACACCAGAGCCAGGGAGGGGGTTGAGCAACTCCAAGGCCTCTGTCCCACAGTGATGGCAACATGTGGCCTGCTCATTAGGTTCCTGCACAGCTCACCTTTAAGTTTGCCTACATTTGACCTGACTCAGCATTCACAGACTAGGAATGTGCATTTGCTGAGCAACAATCAAGGGTCTTGCTTAGCACCAGCTGCCTGAGGTGATGGTAACATTTAAGGCAAACAATGGTGCACAAATCGAATGATCATCAAAGGAAAATCTGGGAAACAGGATGTAAACTTTGAAAATGGTCGGCACATTCTTGGGATCCCTGGAGGCCATGCATGCATGTGATGGGGTTTTTGAGGTTCAGAACAGTGTGATAAGGGCATAGGCTCTCACCTCTGGCTCACCTGAAAGTTCTGTGAGAGCAGGTGGTATAGACTAAGGAAGAGGTGTGTTAAATAAGATGATGGGAAGCCATTGCTCTGGGTTGAGTTCCTGCACTAGGCCTCAGCGGAACGATCTGAGCCAGAACTGACTCACTCATTCAGAACTTCCTGGGTCCAATGGGCTCCAAGGACTTCAGTTCTGCAGAACTATCAGCGTGTCAGGACATATGTTTGAATCTTGGACCACATCTGGTTGTTCAGTCACCCCTGGTGAGCTGGCTGTTTGATCATGGAGCTACTGGACCCTAGAGATTCTGACTAGACCTCTCTTGTAGGTGCCATTTCTATTTGGAGATGGAGTTGTGTTGAGTCTGTCCACTTGTATTGGTGGGGTTCCACTAGGGCCAAAGGCAACTAGTTTGTTGTAACCCATTGACAGCCTTCATGCCCTGGAAGCCTTGTGAACTAAAGGGGCCTTTTCATAGTGACAAGGTTGTTTGTGACACCCTACCTCAGTAAGTACTGGATGAACAAAGGAAGCATCTCATTTCCCTCCAGCTACATGCCATCGCTTTTGCTGACTAACCAACTGCGGCTTGGCTGGCAGGCAGTGATTCACACATCCTCCTCCTATGGCTCAAATCTTTAACTATGAGTGAGCATATTCCCTAAGGTGCTGATGGTGTTGTGTTCCGCAAGCAGCCAGTGTGTCAATGCTGTGATGCACTCAGAAATAGGAACCATAGTCACCACCCAAAGGGCCCCACCCACATGCACATACACCACAGGCAGAAAAATACCCTGGGTCAGCAAATTAGCCTCAAATTGCCTGTCATCCATTTCCATTGTCTCTTATGGAGACCAGAAAATCTTGTCTTGGGAGCATCAATATGCAAAAGTCACAGGAACTTCTGCATCCTCCTTTAACTCCTTTTTATCCTAGCAGGGGAACAAGGCCACTAGTTACTTGGCCCCATCTCTGAGAGCACCATTCAATCATTTGTATCTCCAGTGGTTCTTTATCAAACACCAATCTGGCTGTGTCGTGAGGCTTCTCTGGCCTTTTGTCCATGTCTGCTCTTTAAAAGTCAAATTTCTCCCTCAAAAACTGACCTGGCTTTAAGTCTCATTCTCATTAAGACTATAAGTCATTCATCAGTGCATGAAAACACTTCTTAATAGAGGGTCTCAAGCAACCCAGACCAGGGATGGCTCCCTGCACAGGCCCCTCTGCCTGCTCTAGGCATCATCTGGGATGTGATGAGACTTCATCCTCACCACATTATCCCTGTAAAGCCAAAGGATGGCCAGGACCTCAGACAGCCTATCAACCCTTGCCCATCACTAACCCCATCTTGGAGCAATGACCTACCATTTGACAAGGTCATGGCTTGTTTCCTGGGTGACCCTGCTTACTGTGCCAGACTGCTAAGCAGACAGAACATAGCGGTCACCCACCTCAAGAGCAAAGTGTAAACACTTATACCCATGTCTTGCTGTTAGTGACTTCTTCAAGGAAAACATAGGAGAGTCAGGTTCTGGCTAGGATAATGTTGATAGTTTCTAGTTACTGTGGCAAATATCACATCAATAAGTGACACTTATTCTGACTCATGGTTTCAGGGGTTTCAGTGCACCATAGTGGGGAGAAAAGGGGTGTGTGGCACAGCTTACCTCCTAGTGGCCAGAAAGCAGAGAGGGAGCAGGCCTGTGCTAACAAGTTTCCCTCTCTATCATCAGATGAGGGTCCACACCAAGGGCAGTCTCCACCCCCTTAGTGGTCTCTGGAATGCCTCTCATAAACATTCTTATACACGCACTTCACTAATCAGATAGGTACTTCTCATCCAATCAAGAGGTCAGGATGACCTGTCACAAATGCTTTACTTACACAGGGGAGAGGGGGGAGAGACCACACAAGCAGCTGATGCCAGCAACTAACCAGGAACACCCTGCTGTGCCACAAAGACTCCTATCCCTCCCCTGTGGAGTCTGTGAATCTGAAAGCTGGGGGCATCTCTGAATCTATTGATCCTCACACTGAAGCAGAGTGAAGGAGAACTAGAGCAGAAGGGTCCCCATGTCGAGCACAGGCACTGTGACATCTTTATCCCACAGTAAATGAGGCAAGACGGAAAGTTGGGGATGCTACTCTTCACTATGGGGTTTGGTTAAAAACTCCCAGCAGCTGAGAGTAACTCCAGTGTGGGAAACATTTTCTCTGTAGGTTGCTATTACACAGAAACAAACTGCCTTTTCTATAGAAATATTTTCAGGTGACAATGCTAGAATACCAATAAACCACACTTAAGACCTGGGTATATAAGACCTCAGGTAGAGCCTCGCTCCTCTCCCGGGTATTTTCTGAGA